TTTATACCGGGCCGTATGATGGTGCCATTTCCCCGCAACCATTTGCTCATGATGACCGCCTCAGGGGCAAAGGGAAGTAACGCTAATGCGACGCAGATGGCACTGGGACTCGGTCAGCAGCTTTTTGATGGACGACGCGTGAAACGAATGAATTCGGGAAAGACGCTGCCTGCCTTTTTTGCTCATGAACGCCGTGCCCGTTCTTTTGGCTACGCGATTGGACGCTTCACATCCGGTATCCGGCCACCAGAGTACACGATCCATGCCATGGCCGGTCGCGATGGTCTCATCGACACAGCTGTCAAAACTTCCCGCTCTGGCCATTTGCAGCGTTGCCTTATTAAAGGCCTTGAGAGTCTTGTGGTGCATTGGGACCACTCTGTTCGTGACTCAAACGGCAGCATCGTGCAGTTTACATACGGTGGCGATGGTCTTGACCCGTGCAAGGCCTCAACCCTTACGTCGTGGGAAACGTCGAAGGAAAACCTCGTGGATTTCGGAAAACGATTTGGAGTGGACACGGGTGAGGCGACCAGCGAGACGCGACGGCCAGAAAACTGGGAACAAGGAGTGAGGAACAGCAGCGTGAAGCGCGGTAAACGGCCACGCACAAGCATGAATAACGATAAGAAGAATAATACTAATAAAAATAATGACAACGACGACGAAGAGGAGGATGGCGACGATGAAAATAAAAGGAGCAGTAATTGTAATCACAATGAGAATGCACGGCAGCGGCACAAAGAGCAACAGTTACGTGAGAATCCACTCCCGCGGCACATGCATGACGGCCTTGAGGACTATTTACGCACCAAAGCAACATTTCCACTCTTCCAGCGGGTCTCACAGTTGGCACGCTGGAAGGCGCAGGGACAAGTGCAGGAGAAACTTGCAGAGAAGCGTAGAGAAAGTATTGCATATTATCGTGATGTTCTCTCGGAACTTGCCACAAGCCGACGTGTAAAGGCTTTCTGTGACCCCGGGGAACCTGTTGGTCTTCTTGCGGCACAGGCCGCCGGAGAGCCGTCTACGCAAATGACACTTAACACATTCCACAGTGCCGGTTCCACGGTGACCCACGTGACGGAAGGTATCCCACGTCTCCGTGAGCTGCTTATTCACGCCTCTGTTCAGAAAGCTGCAGTTATTGTGCCCGTGGAGAAGGCGACGCCGGTGGATGAATCAGCCATTGCACGCATACTACATGCGGGTGTGGCGATACGGCTGCGGGATTGTCTTGCGCGGGGCGGGACAAGTGGAAAAGGATATCATTACCACGTGGCACGACGTAAGGATGCGT